ACATCAGCAATGATATCCCTTATTCCACAGCCTCTTCTGAGTCCGCTTGAACCTCTGGAAGTTCTCTGTCAATGTATGATTTTAGCCATTTCTGTATTACCTTTAGCAAAACTTTTTACTCGCATGAGATATCAAAGAGATTGTTCACTAATTTCCACATTCTGTTGGGTCATCTCTCTCTGGAATGGACACCAATACGGACATCTTCCAGTCATTTGGCCAGGTAGTTATCTTCCAAATTTCTTGGCAGAGAAAAGTGAGTGCCTCAAGTACCCTATCAATTTGTTGAAAGGCTTCAATTTGTATTCCATCACTTCCCAGTGCCTGTTCTTTGCCAATGCCTTGGATTTCTTCCTTTAGGATCATTGACTTTTTTTTTTTTTTAAAGATCATTGACTTTTAATCATATGCTACCTCTTGAAATGGTTGAACATTGACCATTTCCTTTTGGTACAGTGACTCTGTGTATTCCTTCCATCTTCTTTTGATGCTTTTTTCTGCATCATTCAGTAATTTACCAAGAGAATCCTTCAATACCACAAGTCAAGGCTTGAATTTTTTTTTTTTTTTTTTTAGTTCCCTCAGCTTGAGAACAGTAGAGGGTAGGGGGTGCCCACTCCCTGAGGTATCCCCTCTGGCTCCCAGAGTGTAGGTGGGCAGACAGAGGAAAATAAAAGAATGGGAAACAAATATTTGCACCTTTGTCTCTGGTGATCGGTCAGCTCTCTGCAATGGGAGTATTCTCTTGACCTTGTATCTGCTCTTACCCATTCAAAATGGCTGTGCCGGGACTCACTGGCTGCCTCAAATCAGAAAACACCTCCTTTTTGATCTCTGCTCCAAACCCACTTGCTGGTAAGTTTTCAATCTTCCTGATTACCCCTTTATATGAAGAGTTCCAGGACCCTCCTTTGAACCTGTTTCATCTAGTATTCTATGTAGTTACTAGCAGAGGTCTGTCTGTACAGCCTTTCTCCCTAATCACCATCAAGCCCCCATCTTCCTTACTCTTCTTCCTGCTTCCCTTTTCTTGTGTATTGCTCTCCCCCTCTTGTATAGCCCTCCCTGTCACCCAAGCTAACATGTGTCTACCCTCTAGTCAGTGAATTACTGTCCCCCACTCTCCCACCCCTAGTAACCATCCTAGAGTGTTTCTTTAGTCTGGAAACCTTTTCTTAAACTTTTGTAATAATGGTCTCATATAATATTTGTCCTTTTGTGATTGACTAATTTCACTCAAAATAATGTCTTCCACGTTCATCCAAGTTATGGGGTGTTTCACAGCTTCATCTTTCTTCTTCAACGTTGCATACTATTCCAGTCTGTGTATGTACCAAAGTTTGTAGATCCAGTCTTCCATTGATGGGCACATAGACTGTCTCCATCTTTTTTCTATTCTGACTAGTGCTGTGATGAATATTGATGTGCATATCTCTACTCCTGTCCTGTCTTGTATTTCTTGTGGAGATACACCAAATAGAGGGATTACTGCCAATAAGGCATTTCTAACTTTCTAAGGAAGCGCTACACCATTCCCCAGAGTGGTTAAGTGTATTTTACCATCACACCAGCATTGTTGGAGGGTCCCAGTCTCTTCACACCTTTGCCAGTATTGTTTTGTTTTTTGAAGTATACTGTTAATGTCAGTGTGAGATGGTATCTCGTTAAGTTGATTCGCATCTCTCTCATGGCTAATGATCATGCGCATTTCTTCATATATATTTTGGCTGCCCGAATATCTTCCTTGGTGAGGTGTCTGTTCATGTCTTGCACCCTTTTTTAAAATTAGGTTGTTTGTCTTTTTCTTGTAGAGGTGTTAGTTTTCTATAAATTTGAGATATTAGTCCCTTGTCTGATATGTCATTTCAAAATGTTTCCCTGTCTGTTAGGCTCCCTTTTGAGTCTTGATGAAATCTTTGGATTCATGTAAGTTTCTAATTTTTAGGAGGTCCCGGTCATCTATTTTGTCTTCTACTGTTTGTGTGTTTTTCATAATGCTTGCTAGTGTATATATGCCATGTATTTGAGCCCCTAAATTTCTTCCTAGTTTTTTCATTGATGTTTTTTATAGTTTTAGGTTTTACATTTAGGTCTTTAATCTGTGTTGTTTGTTTTTGTATATTGTGTGAGGTATGGGCCTTGTTTCATTCTTCCGCAAATCAATTTCTAGTTTTGCCAGCACCGTTTGTTGAAGAGACTATCTCTTCCCCATTTAATGTGGTTTGGCCCGTAGTCAAAGACTGTATATGGATGAATGTACTTATTCTCAATTCTGTTGCACTGATGTTTCTTTCATTGTACCCCTGCCAGGCTGTTTTGATCACTGTGGTTGTGTAGTAATATTTGAGATCAGGGAATGAGAGGCCTTTAACTTTGTTCTTTGTAAGCAGTGCTTTGCTTACCCGAGGTAGCTTTCCTCGCCATATAAAGTTTGTGATAATTTTTCCATCTCTATAAAGATTGCCATTGGAATCTGGATTGGATTTGCATTATATCCATAGATTGCTTTGTGTCGTATTGACATTTTCATAATGTTAAATCTTCCTATCCATAAACATGGCATATTCTTCCATTTTAGTAAATCTCTTTTGGTTTCTTGTAGTAGCGTTTTATAGTTTTCTTTGTATAGGTCTTTTGTTTCTCTAGTTAGATTTATTCCTAAATAATTTACCTTTGGGGTGACTATGGAAAATGGTATTGTTTTCCAAATTTCCTGTTCAGAACTGTCTTTATTAGTATAGAGGAATCCAACTGATTTTTGTATAATGATCTTATTCCCCATCACTTTGCTAAATCTTTCCAGGCATTGCAATAATTTTCTTGCTGAGTCTTTGGGATTTTCTATGATTGTGATCATATCATCTGAAAATACAGTTTTACTTCTTCTTTGCCAACTTGGATGACTTTAATTTCTCTGTCTTGCCTTAAAGCTCTGGCTAAGACTTCCAACACAAAATTGAATAGGATTGGTCATAAAGGGCATCCTTGTCTAGTTTCTGTTTGCAAAGTTAATGTTTTCAGTGCCTCTCCACTCAGAGTAATATGGCTGTTGGATTTGTATTGTTGTTATGTGCCGTGGAGTTGTTTCCGACTCATAGCTACCCTGTACAGGGTTTCCGAGGCTTTAAATCTTTACGGGAGCATAACGCTTCATCTTTCTCCCGCGAACAGCTGGTAGTTTAGAACTGCTGACCTTGCGGTTCACAGCCCAATTCGTAACCACTACGCTATATATGCTTTTAATTATGTTGAGGAATTTCCCTTCAATTCCTACTTTGTTGAGTGTTTTTATCAAGAATGGGTGTTGGATTTTGTCAAATGCCTTTTCTGCATCAATCAATATGATCATGTGGTCCCCTTCCTTTTTTTACTTATATGCTGAATTGTGTTGATTGTTTTTTTAATGTTGAACCATCCTTGCATCCCTGGGGTGAATCCCATTTGCTCATGATGTGGTTTTTATGTGTTGTTAAATCTGTTAGCTAGGATTTTGTTGAGAATTTTTGCATCTGTGTTCATGAGGGATATTGTCTATAATTAATTTTCTTTTTTAGTGATGTCTTTGCCTACTTTTGGTATAAGGGTTATACTAGCTTCATAAAATAGGTTAGGGAGTTTTCCATCCCTTTCTATACTCTGAAATAGTTTGAATAAAATTGGTGTCAGCTCCGCTCTGAATCTTTGGTAAAATTAACCAGTAAAGCCATCTGGACTTGGAGTTTTTTATTGATCTGATCAATTTCATCTCTTGTTATCATAGGTCTGTTCAAGTTCTCTGTTTCACACTGTAAGTAGATTGTTTTTCTATAAATGCACCCATTTCTTCTAGATTTTCAAATTTGTTTGGAGTACAACTCTTTATGTTGTTAAGTGCCATTGAGTCGGTTCCAACTCATCGTGACCCTGTATAGGGTTTCCAAGGAACAAGTGGTGAGCTTGAACTGACAACCTTACAGTCCAGCACATTAACCCACAGCGCCACACCAGGACTCAACTCTTTATAGTATTCCGTTATTATTTTTATTTCAGTTGGTTCTAACGTCACCCATATACTTTATGCTATTTGTATCTCCCCCCTTTTATTTGATTTGCTAATGGTTTGTCAATTTTATTAATTCTTTCACAGAACCATTTTCTTGTCTTGTTGATTCTATTGTTTTTCTGTTTTCTACTAATTTATTTCAGCTCTTATCTTCATGATTCCTTTGCTTCTCTTGACTGTGAGCTTACTTTGCTGGGATTTTTTTAACTAATTGTTGTAGATGTTGTGTTAATGTGTTGATTTTAGTTCTTCTTTTTGGATGTGTGCATTTGTTGCCATAAATTGCTCTCTCAACACCGCTTTTGCTGTGTCCTAAAGGTTTTGGTATGTTGTGTTTTCATTCTCATTTTCTTCAAGGAACTTTTTTTTTTTTTTATTTGTTCTATTACCCAGTACCATTTACGCCGGGTGTTATTCAGTTTCCATGCATTTGATTTTTTCCCCCCTTTATCTTCTTATTATTGACTTCTGTGTAGTATTGTGATCTGAGAAGATGGTTTGTAGTATTTTGATATTTTAACATTTTTTGAGAGACTTGCTTTCTGGTCTAACACATGGTTTATTCTGGAGAATGTTCAAATTAAAAAAAAAATTAATTTTAAATAATGTTTCCAGCTTTGTAGAACACAATTCATTAACAGAATGTTAACCTATGTCATTTAAAAAGTCTGTTTATAGTACCAGTTTTGTTGGCTTTTATAATGTTTTTGGAAGAGGTAGTCAGTGATAGTAATCTCTCTTTTGATTTGTGGTCTCTTTAAATATAGAATAGACATACTTTCCTTTAGAATAATTACATCAGAGATTTCTTCACGGAAACCAAATACAGAAATTTAGACAATAGGAAGGAATTTGAGAGCAATTTACTTATATAAAACCCATGTTGTTTATATTAAAAATAGCTATCTTGTGTCTTTTAGTATTTCTAACTTTTGTGTACCTTTCTCTTTGTTTACAGCCCACTTCGTTGTGTAGTTCTTATTGCCCTCAGGGACATCAAGCAAGGAGAAGAGCTGTTTTCAAATTACTACACAATTGTTAGCTAACTCTATCAACCAGAAAGTAGGTTTTCTTACTCAGCTATTGAGTTAATTCTAAGTATTTTTTAAAAATGATTTTTCTGAGTTCCATCTTTAGAACACATTCTTGGAGAATTAACTGGAGTTGAAATTCTTTGTTTTTATTGATATCCTGTGTTTCAATTCCCTGATAAAAAAGCTGTTTGCTTCATTGGAATTTTGAATTTGTAATGCAGTTTTCATTTTAATTGACTTTTACCTAAATACATTAAAGCATACTGTTTGGCCTTATAATTTCAATTTTTATTTCATATATTTTCTCCCCCTGTGGTTTATAAAATTTTAGCCAAATTAGCTACAATTCTTGCAATAATGTTGATATGTACAAACTGCTGTAGAAATGTTATTCTTGCAGAATAAACTAAAAAAAATCTGTTCTAAAATGGAATTTGCGTTGCCATCAGTAAATTGGTGTTTGTTTTGTATGATTAAAAGTTTGTTCTAGCTTGGTAAGGGGAAAATGTGGGGCTTTATGCTATTTTTTCTACTATTATTTTGTTTGAACATTTCCACATAACATACTTTGATCTCTCAATTCCAAAGCTGGATGGAGAGGCTTTATTGGACCCCTCAAATCTTCACATTGAATTTGTACAAACAGAATTTGACCACCTTTTCCAGCATTGTTTCACCTAGTTTGTTGCATTCCAATAGCTTCCTAATTGCCTTCCTGCTCCACAACCTGTATTAGACTTTCACCAAGAGTGATCCTTGAAAATGTCCAGTCAAATCTTTCCATGCTTCTCCTCAAATTCTTCCAGACTCCTTATTTCAAAGTAAATGCTGATGCCCTTTACAATCCACGATCTATTTTCTCGTTACCTTTGATCTCATTTCTGCTGTCCCCACGTGCTCACTCCACCTGACTGGCCTCCTGACTGCTCTCTGAACCTGCTAGGCCCACCCTCACCTCAGGACCTCTGCACTTGTTCTCTCTTCCAGGAATGATCTTCCCCTAGATAGCCAGTTTGTTCTAGTATCCTCCTGCCTAACCACCTTCCTTCTACTTACAATCCCAACAACTCCCACCTCTTACAGTCTTTGTCCTACTACCTTAGATTATTTTTCATTTTACTTGTCTTCTCAACCATGAGTTCAGTGCAGTATCAGTGCCTAGAACATAATTTGACAGTTGACAATATTGGTTGAACGAATGAAACATAGGTTTGTCCCTTATTTGCTGCACAGCTTAAGGCAACTTTTTGTAGTGAAATCAATAGGATTGTTTCAGTAGGTAGTCTAAGTTCTGTTGAAAAGGGGCTTCCATTTGATACCTAGCCATAACATTTGTTTCCAGTGTCATGTGGCTTTTAATTGTGTTCCTCTGAGAGGCTGGAGGGATCTTCTGGAGGAGCCATTCAACTTGGTCCAAGAACAGTTAGTGACTGCTATGGGAAGGGCTCTGGGGGAATGGAGGGTGTTGGTGCTGGTGGGGTGCTGTGGAGACGATTCTGATGCAGCATCCCTGCAGTTTCCAGGGCTGTAACTCTTGATAGCAGAAAACCTCATCTTTCTCCCACAGAACTACCGGTAGTTAGTTGCTAACTGCTCACACCTTGAAGTTAGCAGCCCATCTTGCAACCACTAAGCTATCAGAGGTCCAAACACGGTTCCTGCCCATAAAATGTTCACAGGAGTATAAAGTTTGCCTCATATCATGCCTTGCTCTGGGCTGGAGTGGTGCAAATTATTTTTCAAAATAAAACATTGATATTTATAAAATGAAGATACCCTTTTTCGTTGTTTTACTAACTTTTTAGATTTCTAAATGGTTGATTTTTCCTTTCTCACATGTTTATGAAATGCTTATTCTACATCAGAAAACATCTTTGTGACAGCAATGGCTTTACCTTCTTGTAAAAACATACCCATGAAAATCTAGGTAGACAAATAAGTGTCTCTCTAAAGTAAATGCAATCGTCAGGAGGGACCAGTCGCTGGAGAAGGATATCATGTATGGTAAGGTGGAGGGTCAGAGAAAAAGAGGAAGACCCCTAACAAGATGGATTGGCAAAGTGGCAGCATCGATGGACTCAAGTGTGGCAACAGCAGTGAGGTTGGCCCAAGATCGGGCAGTGTTTCGTTCTGCTGTGCACAAGGTCACTATGAATTGGTACCAACAGGATGTCACGTAACAACAACAAAGTAAATGTCAGCTGTTGTGCACTAAAATTAGAAAAACATGTGATACTTTCTGGTCTAGGACCACAAATTCATTGTCCCTTGTACACTGTTTTGTCAGAGAACCCATGCAGACACCAAAAAAGAGGATCTTGAGTAAAGATCGAATGGTAACCAGCACTCTATGCCAGGGCCTAGTCTAAATGAAAAGCATTTATGGTGAAATGCCCCAAGTCTGCAACGTCATTAGACCGCTGAGTAGTCAGAGACGCACCTAGACTCCAAAAGCATACCACTGATGGAATTAATGACCAAAATGGAAACGGTGTGGTAGTCACCAGAGATTATTCTGAAGACTGTTCTAGGAAGCCGCTTCCCCCTTCCTTAAAAGCCTGCCCTCTAGTGCTCATTCATTCAGCATTTGCTGTATTCTTGGCTATATCCACCAACTTGTGGCCCTTTGGAAGGTACTTCTGTCCATGTGTCTACCACAGAGCCCTACACAGTAACGGTTTCGGGTGGCTGCGAAAAGAGGGCTGATCTGGGATGAATTATCAAGGCAGGATATTCAGGGTTTTTGCTTTCATTTGATCATCTTCTTGCTCTTGTACAAAATCTCCATGTTACATGCAGTTTGATCTCTGCATGTTAAGAATGGAAGAAGAGAGAAAGCTCTGGTGAGAGCACATGAAATATACAGACAGACTGGTGAAATGAGGCTAATCAAAGTTCTGTAGCTTAAAAAGAACCCACTGCCATCCAGCTGATACTGACTTATAGCAACCCCATAAAGGGTTTCCAAGACTAAAACTTTATGGGAGCAGACAGCCTCATCTTTCTCTCACAGATGAGAGACCTAGCAGTTAGCAGCCCAATGCCTAACTCAGAGCCAACAGGGCTCCTATTATTAGTAAGACTTAAAGCAACAAAAACCCACTGTTAAAAAAGAATGGCCGCTTAGACCAGTGTTTGAAACACAATACCAAATCCATGTCTCCTGAATTAAAGTACAAATGTAATCCTCACTTTGGGATTGTGGTAGTTGTTAAGTGTCATCAAGTCAGTTCTGACTCATGGCGACTCTGCATAGGGTTTCTGAGGAGTGGCTGGGGGGTTTGAACCACCGACCTTGCAGTTAGCAGTCTAGTGCTTATCCCACAGCACCACCCCAGGGTGGTAGTGACCTTATTGTGGAGGAAGAACTATCATAAAGGGTTTCAGAAAAACTTATTTTATCTATTGATTCTATTACTTACCAATCAAATACCTTATTTACTACATCAAAACCCAATTTGACAGTGGTAAAGTATTTACCCATTTGGTGTAATTTAAGATTTGTTGAATAAAACATCTATTTTTGGCAAATACTCACACGAACCAAGGGGAAAAAAAAAAGATTTCCAGATTTTTATTTCTGGAACTGTACACCAGGTATTAAAGTACAACAAATACAAAATAATGCTCAAAAAAATCAGTGTTTATGTACAAATATTAAAATCAATGCAACAATAGCAACTTCCTCTTGAACATCTGATACTAAAACGTGTTCTGATTGTCACTAATTTATCTTCATACTCACAGGGTACTTATTTCAAACTGGGACAATTGGAATCACTGGTCATCTAAGAAGAATATTAATATCTACCATATGTAACAATAAAACTAAGAGTTTCCTCCTTTTAGTGAAAAAATTAGGAACTTTTTAAAAAACATAGTAATGTCAATATTTTTATAAATTATTTCAATTTCCATTTGTAGACAATGTGCTTTGAAACTCTGGGCAAACAATCTCCTTGGTGGTCAGGTTTATTCATTAGTTTACATTCAAAGTTGAAATACTCACTCGAGACTTTGGTTAAATTAAATAGTATCACTCTATTAGATCTGACATCCTCAAATATTTATGACCCTCAATTTTAAAAATTAAAAAGGAAACAATTACACAATTCCTTTTAAAAAATTAAAAAGGAAGCAAGTGACCTAATTGTACACACTTTAGTATTTTTGAAGCATTATACTACATCCTTCAAGTAAATTCAGCAGCTGACCATAACAAGAGGAAAACTAAACATTTAAAAAAAAGCCCGACTATAGAAAGATGAAGTCTGCCTAACAAAAGTAAGGTATTGCTATCATCACAGCACCAGTGACATGTCTAAATGAATACGCCGTCCTCTTTAAATTCCCTGTACACAAAATGATACGTCAGCCAACACTGCAACTGCTCACCGTGGATTTTTTGGTTTGTTCATATGAAAATTATGTGGCAAAGGAAAACACCAAAACAAAACAAGAAGAATTCATCACAGTTTGTTATAAGAATTGTGCTTAACACTTGATAATAAAGGCATTATTGTTTCTTCATATGATTGCACATTGGCAATTTCCATGCTCTCAAAGGCAATTCTTTTAATAAACAGTAATAAATTCTCATAAAAATGCTGAAAGTGAGAAAAAAACAAAACAACCAGTAAATCCAGCTTTTAAAAGAAAATTCAATAAATAGCTATTTTACATGGATAAAGTTATAGTGGTACAATTATGAATGTCACATCAAGCATGCACAAAAATGGTATAATACATGGCAGAAGTAGTCAGAAAATATTGAATTAGATCTAAAAAGATATGAAGAATTTACACATATATACAAAAATCTTGCAAATTATTGCCTCATTTTAACAAGGAATTAAAAGTAAACGTTACCAGCTAGCTAGCACTCTCTAAGAGGCTAAAATTAGATGGGCATTTAAAAATCTATTAAACTAGCTGGAATTTATTTTTCTCTCATACCATTTTCTGGATTTTGGTCAAAAATCTTTATTAAATAACTAAAGTGTCCATTCAACTTGCTGATAATCCAAAGTTTAGATAAGAAACACCGTTTCCATCTTATATCAAGATCCCAGCAATGCATAGATAAACTGAATATATTACTGCATCAGCTTCTGAGAATGGGCATGTTCACTTAAGTGCAACTGGTATTAGCATTCAGTCATCTTTGTGTAAAATATTTTATACAAACCAGCCACTGTAAACCCAGAGTCAAAAGTAAAGTTACAACAATGGAAGATTATGGCCAGTATCTTACTAAATTACAGAAAATGTACTGATTATTAACACAAGAAATAAGGTTCAAAGTTTAGCACAACAACACAGCAAAAAGAAGCTGACAACTTGGATGAAAATACCAGAAAGGAACACAAGGTCCAGGCTACCCAGTATTTACTGTGTGCACACAGGAATGCTATACTCTAGATGTACAAATTAGAGACCGATTTTAAGTTATTAATTTAACTACTTTTGTCCACTGTTCTAAACTAAATTTTATAGTAAATGTGCTACTGCGTAAACACTTCAAAGCAATCTTCATTTAAATGCTGCAAAGAAAAACAAGAATACACATCATCCAAAACAAAGGATGTCATTGCAGTTCACAGTTTGTAGAATAAATACCCTCCCTTTCAATCACTACTAAGGTTACTATATCCTATCTACTCATCAGCACAACCTTGAAGCGACTTATACTTACAAATATCAGCAATGCAGTCAAACATTTAAGGTTTTTTGCAAGGCAACACAACTAGTAAAAATCAAAAGTTTTAATTAAGATGGTGCAAAAAAAGAGCAAAATTGTGTTTTAACTGTATTGTGAAAGCAAAGCTTATAACATCCTAATACTGTATTACATATTGTTTGAATTCACCTTAAAACTTAAAAGATGCATGTCTATTGAGCAAAATGGCCAACGTTCATGACGATGGCTTCTCATTCACAATGTTCGGAGTAAAAATAAGATTAAGTTTGAGATGCGTCTGAACATGTCACCTTTGTAAAACTTAAAGTGGTAAAGTACCATTCTAGTTCATATAAGAACTCACAATTTTCCTGCCAAATGTTCAAGCTAAACAAAAAAGCTTAAATATACTTCAAGGTTCTACTGCATTATGTATAAAATCTAGAAGTCCCTCGTAAATATTAACACTCTGAACTGCAGTGCGACAAACAACTTAGGTGTCCCAAAACGTACACCACTGAATGGCAACATCCGAGGCTTTGTCGACTGCACCTCCACCAGCCACCTGCCTCCGGATAAACTAAATTATACAATGACCGCTACTGACTTTAAAGATCACAATCTTGACAAGGGTGGACAAAACCCCAATCTGAACACATCTTCAAAGGCCAAATGTTCGGCCAATAAACGAAGTTACACAGAAATCTTCTGGCGGTAAGATGACCCATTCTGTGCAAGGTAGCCCTGGTCTAAAATTTTAGAACAGGATCCAAGCAAGCGTCTTCGCAATCTGCACGCAGTTCCTTGTGCTGGCTTCACTAAAGATGGCCTTGCTGGTGTGTAAACTGAAGTGCTCTACTCGAATCACATGAGAGAACTTTACATTAAAAAAAAAAAAAAAATCCTTGTATGTTTGTGCAGTTTAAAGAAACCTACCCCTGCTTTTATTTAATTAAGAAAAGAAAACCCAAAAAATGCTACATTGAGCAGGGATCGGGATCCGTACCTGTAAACATTGTTATTCCACTGCATCCATTTCGGCAAAAGGAATTTACACGATAAGAAGCCACTGCATTCAGTTCAGAACTTCGGTGCTGGTTTTGAGCTGGTGGCCTCGGTCTACAGGTGTTAAAATGGGGAGTGAGGGCAGTGGGAAGCAGAAGAAAATAGAAAAGGGAAGGTGTGGGCAAGAGGTATTGGGTGATGAGGAGGAGAGAAGCAGAGCTTAAAGCTGCACCAGAGTTCAATCTTAGTTCCCAACTCTGCTGATCATAGTTCGTTTCCACATTTATGGATTGAAAAATGAAAATACTCTTGACAAATCAAGATATAGTTCTATACATACTGACATCACTGATGTCATAGTGAAAAAGGTTCAAACTTCCAGTGAAAGACTAAGCAAACCTGATCGCTCCCCTCAAGTTTCCTGGTATTCCACACACACGCCTGGGCCCCCACCCAGATCACTCGGAGTGAAGGGCGGCGTGCGGATGCAGGGCGTGGGCACTGATGAAACCATTGGTTTCGCTGGCAGACAGATTGCCGAAGTCAGCCACCGAGACGGCCATTTTGGCACTGGTGATGTGATGCGTGTGATTTTCAAAATCCACACCCAAATTATTTACAGACACCTCATTCATGAAAGGTTCAGGGACAGCAATGCCCATTTTCAACCTCTTTGCCGGTCTTTCAGACTCTTCACTGCACATGTTCATTGGGTTTAGCTCTGAGTGATAAAATCCAGTCTCAAATAAATTAAAACAATCACTTTCTCCATTGCTGGGCAGGGTGAGTAACTCTTCCGTTACAACAGGCACATGATTTACTTGTCCACGGGGTGTGTTGCCCAGTGGAGGAAAGCTATCATCCAAACAATTCACATCTGTGGGGCTGCAGACAGTCGCTACACTGTTGGTCAAAGCTACAAAGAAATGGAAAACAGTTCATTCAAGTGACCCTATGCCCAGGAAACAAGATTTTCCACAAGCTATAAGACACAACACATACAGATGCTCATGTTACCTGTCAAGTCACTGGCAGTGAAAGAATTCAGTATGTTCAGCTGTTGATCAGGAATAGGCTCGGGTCGGTTAGAAGTTAAGGCTGAAGAATTTACTGTCCCACCCAGAGCTTCTGTTTCATCTACCAAACGATCCATGTAGTCCCTGGAAAACACACCCTAGTAATGTTACAGCTGCTTGAAACCAAAACAAAGCATCACCAAAGTCAAGTCTATGGTACTTACGTAACCCCTGGGTGATGGTTGTATCGTTTCTTTCCAAATCTTGTTTGTTGAGCAAAGTAATCATAACGTTCAGATTTCTTCCACATGTAGTAGAAAGCTACACATTCAGCAACTGTTCTAGTTCTTACCTAACAAGCCAACAATAGATTTTCAAAATCAAACCAACAACTCGAATCCACGTTTTAAAATAAATAAAAAAAAAATTAACATGGTAACTTCAATCCATGGGTCTAATTTTTTATCCTCTCAATTATGAGTTTCAAAATACTTTATTAGTATTTCCCAGAAATGGTAGTGTAGTGGTTACAAGCTGGGCTGCTAATCTCAACGTAAGCAGTCTGAAACTGGTAAGTTGTTCTGCGAGAGAAAGATGAGGCTTTCTGCTCCCGTAAAGATGTGCAGCCTCAAAAACCCCACAGAGGGTCGCTATGAGTCAGAACTGACTCCAAGGCACATAATCGTCACCATCATTTAATAATGAAGTTAACTTTCAAAGTCTGAAGGTTTTTGTTTATAAAATAAATGTGCATCCAGAAATCATCTTGCACCTTTACTAGAAAATTCTAAAACATGGAATCACTTACTCTTTTGCTTCTTACCTAAGGCAAAGGATTAACCAACCCCAGAAGGGTCCATGATAGTACCTCATATAGTTTTGTCGTTGTTAAGTGCCAGTGAGTCGGTTCCGACCCAAGCTGGTGAGCTTGAACAGCTGACCTTGAGGTTCAAAGTGACTTTGCAGTTCTGCACATTAACCAACAGTGCCACTCTCAAAATTGTATTTTTTTCTGGGGAGAAGGGCCAGAGACTCAACATATTCTCAAAAGAGCCCATGATCCAAAAGAGTTTAAGAACCTTTGGCAAAAGAATCAACATTCAATTATGTCTGGAATTTAAGATAATTTGCTAGCTAAAGACAGAGATTTCCTCACTAATATGTTTTAGCTCTTTACTCCAACAGAGTTTGGTAAGAACAATAAAATCTGAGCCTCATCAACGACACATACAGACACAGTCTCCTCTAACTATCTATAGTAGCCATATGAATGCAGACATACTCTGTAGAGACTAAGTTCTGTATCCTTACCCAATAAACACTTTCTCTCCTGTTGAGTCAGTGCCCAATAAGGAAGCGCTCTACCTGAGGATCTCTACCCTGATTGGTGAATGTGTTGTGATAAAGATCACTGGCACACGGTCAAGCTTTTGCACCAAGAAACATCCTATGCCTTCCAATAAATACCATTATCTAAAAGTCTTCTCAGAATGCTGGCTTCTTGGGGACAGAGACTTTTTTGTCTTGTTCACTGGTGTACCTCTACTGCCTAAAACAATGTCTGGCACATGTTGTTGTGGCTGTTAAGTGCCGTCAGTTGGTTCCAACTCACAGCGACCCTGTATAGGGTTTTTGAGGAGCAGCTGGTGGGTTTGAACCACCAACCTTGTGATTCATAGTCCAGTGCTGATCCACAGTACCACACAAGAAGTCCATCAGGTACATAATAAGACTTAATTTCTTAAGGAATGAATAAACAGAGTAAATTTTACAAGTCACTGCACAACTGATAGCTTTAAACGGCCAACTTAGATTCTGAAACAAAAATTTGATTCTATTTATTAAACACTTCATCTCATCTTTGAGAAAACATTAGATTTCCATACACACAAAAAGCACTTAACACTGACCACTTAAGTACTTCAAAATGTTGCCTTCCTCTAGGATGAAGAGGGATAATAATAACCAAAATACAATGCAATAAGCCATGGTATGTTCAATCACCTCAGATGCATGCGAAAGCTGGACAGTGAATAAGGAAGACCGTAGAAGAATTGATGCTTTTGAGTTACAGTGTTGGAGAAGAATATTCAAAGTGCTATGGGCTGCCAAAAGAACCAATAGATCTGTGTTGGAAGAAGTGTAGTCAGAGTGCTCCCTGACGGCCAGGATGGCCAAACTTTGTCTCTCATACTTCGGACATACTGTCAGGAGGGATCAGTCGCTGGAGAAGGATATCATGTTTGGTAAGGTGGAGGGTCAGAGAAAAAGAGGAAGACCCCCAGCGAGATGGATTAGCAAAGTGGCAGCATCAATGGGCTCAAGCGTGGCAACAACTGTGAGGTTGGCCCAGGATCAGGCAGTGTTTTGTTCTGTTGTGCACAGGATTGCTATGAGTCGGTACCGACTCGATGGCACCTAACAACAACAAATTCCAAACTAATTAGAATATATTTTCTAGTTGTTTTTACTAAGTAATATTTGTTTACTCAGCAGCTGTAGTTTTCACTGCTGATAAGAAACATTTCGGAAACCACAAGTCTCTGAAGCATTTGGAAAGAAGTGAAAAGTCAAGGAAAAAGGAAGACGATTAAAACTTCCAAAAAACATGGTGAATCCATTTTCTGAGACTGTGATAACTATATATTTCAAAATCCATGTAAATATACTATCAGCATCCCATGATCAGGCTCTGGGGCATCAGTGAGCAGATCAGTCATGACCAGAGCAGAGTACTGGTGTGTCAAAGGCAGGTGACTGTCAAAGGAAGGGGCGCATTTAACAAGTTGTTGCTTGTTCTTTTTTTCCTACTCAAAGTAATGGCTTATAAATTAGATGCTTTTATTCATTTTTATTACTAAGTCATTTCTCTTTCTTCTTTACCTAATACCAATTTGCTTGATTGTGAAGTTGTGAGGATGCAGGACTGTTCTGTTTACACAGTCACTAAAGGCTGGAACCCACCTGATGGCACCTAACAATCTGCCTGTTAAGAAGACCTGGTACTACCATGGTTAAAACGCTCAGCTGCGAACCAAAAGGTCAGTGGTTTGACGTTACCAGACATGCTATAGGAGAAAGTTGTGGAAGTTTGTTTCCCTATAGAAACAGCTTTGGAAACCCTATGGGACAATTCTACCTTCCTACAGGGCTACTATCCATCCGAGTAGACCCAACAGTAATGGGCTTAGTTTACTTTGCCTAACGTACCTTATTCTTCTGTATAAGATGGAAATCTTTCCCAAAAAGCATGAGTGCATGTTCAAAACTTCGGCATTCTTCTTCGGTCCACGCAGTCATTCCTTCTAAAGAAATTTCACAACAAAATTCATTGGACTCAAAACTCTTTGATGTGATTCAGTGATTTTTTTCAGTATGTCTTCCAAGTAAAAGGTCATCAACTCACACACATCAAAGTCTTCTGTGCTAGGAGCTTCCAGTTCAAATGACTAAAAGTATGCATATTATAAATTTGACCAAAAAAGAAATAGTACCCAAGTACAAAGACTGTTGTTTTGGCTTTTTCTGCATAGTGGGATAAGATTTGTAATGTATTTCTGCCTGTTGTTCCTATGATCTTTTAAAAACAATGAGCACCCATTACTTTTAATTGTGAGTGGGAAGGAAGGTGATTTACTTCATGAGGAAAAAAGCTGATCTGAATCTTATCTCAAACTTGTAAATTCTTTCATTAGAAACCACATGCCATCAATCATGTTCAATAAAGTACAACTGCCACACAGTTACTAAGTTGGTGTGCACAATGCTGTCCTAGATCCTCTCGAAACACAAAGGGGATGAGACAGTTCTTGCTCTCAAACGACAAAAACCCATTCTACTTCCTGGCAGATGTGAATGCTGGTGAACTGAAAACTACTGGGCGCAGTACAGGAGACTCAGATGGCCTTCAAGGACCAGGGAGGGACTGCATAACTTCCCTTGATTTCTGAGTGTCCCACTTTGGGGACCGGATCCCCAAAGTCACTAATGGTTGTCTACAATAAGAAATGAATAATACAAAGGGGTTTTTAAAAGTGCATAGAAAAATTCCATTTCTTTTAGTTAGATTTTCCATGAACTTTTTAAAGCTTCCTTGTAGTTTCAAAGAATGAAGAAAAGAGTCTTTCAGTTCTGAAAGCTCTGAGAGCCTAAAGTCATTTTTTTTTTTGTAAGGAGCAACTTTTACAAGGAAACGTGTCAATAGTCTAGTCTCAACCTACAAGCTCAAACGCATGTTTTCAGCTTTCCTACATTTCTAAATCACTTACACAATATTACTAAGTAGAACTTATAATCTACAGATACTTAATGAACGTTATGCCGCACGCAATCCATTTATAAAATAACAAAAAAACACTGAAACAAAAGGGATCTGTTTTCTTGACACATACAAAACCAAGCCAAAGCTCTGTCAAAATGTTATTACATGATTACCACAAATAAACCTATTGCAATAAGTGCAGTGGATTTATAGTGTACATTTCTTTTTTTAATCCTTAGTCTCCTTTTTATTTCCTGTCTGGTTTACAAAAGAAAGAAAACAATTTTTTTTTCCCCAAAGAAATCATAAAATCATTCTTTTTAATTACTTTGGATATATTGTCATCTCTGGGGTCTGCCTTGTTCTTTAATTAGTTCTTCAAGAAAGTGGAGGTGACAGGGGGTTAACTAATTTGTATTTGGACACTCTCTGGCACGTCTAAAAATAGAGGGCAAAAAAAGGAAATAATTATTGGCTATGAAGATGAACAAAGATTTGACAAAAGTGTTATAGGGATTCTCGGTCCTTTATGCTACTTGACTTATTCTGAGTCTCAAATGACCATCCCTCGTCACCTCCCTCTCTTGGTCCTGAGTGCGTCTTACCTTGCGAGGACTTTCCATTGCAGCAGTACCTTTCGACTGCTTCCTTTATATTGTGATTACACTTGAGAAGCTCATATAATGCCTACAGGAGAAAGAAGGGAGAAAATTCAAAAGAAGTTACCCAAAGTTTACACGTTAACAATATTTTACAAAAGAGGCATATTGTAAGTCTTCACAAATACTGGCTGACATGCTAGTATCCGGGCACTTGAGGGTTATGCTTGCCTAATCTATGGACCCATCCTGCAGACTGACTCTGGCACCTCATGAATTTGTTCATTTTCACTCCCCCTCTTAGGCGTCACCACCTCTAGCATTCCTGGATGATTTTCTTGCTTTCTGAGCTGGCTGAATTACCCTATTTTAGATGTGGTCTTGTCCAGTGGCAGACCTGGGATAACAGGACTGGTACTTTAGTAATAGCCTTAGCCTTTTCCATTTACTCTGAAACATGTGTTTCTGTTGTTGCTGTTTTTTTCCATTAGAATTTCATCCTGTTTGGAATTGTGAAATATTAAATAGTGCCCAGATAGAATTCAGTGGAAAGTTAAAAAATACTCTATCTTGCCTACGAAGTTTCAAGGAAAACAAACATGGCTCAATAGGTTACACTATAAACAATAATCTTAATTGATGCTTTTAATAAAACATTAGGTAAATCAGTATCCATTCTAATGTAAAGAAGGTAAAAACTATGTTATTGTTGTTGTTAAGCACCATGGAGTCGGTTCCGATTCATAGTGACCCTGCACAGGGTTTCCGAGGTGTAAATCTTTATGGGAGCAAAAAGCCAAATCTTTCTCCACTGGAACATTTGATAGTTTCGAACTGACAACCTTGAGGTTAGCAGCCCGATTCGTAACTACTACGCTACCAGAGTTATGAGTAGCTATAAATAGTTAACAACTATGAGTAGTTATAAATAGATGAATGTATTCCTATATGATAAAGAAAGTTTACCAGCCACTCCATAGGATAAAGATATAGCAGTCAAAGATTAAACCTAACCCACTGCCATCAAGATGATTCTGACTCATAGAAACGCTATTGAACAGAGTAGAACTACCCCACCACTGGGTTTCCAAGGCTCTAAATCTTTAGGGAAGAAGACTTGCACATCTTTCTCCCATGGAAAGGCTGTTGCATTCAAACCACCAACCTTCTGGTTCGCAACCAGACATTTTAACCAATGTGCCACCAGGGTTCCTATTCAAAGACTAGAAATCCTATGGGACAGTTCTACCAAAGGGTCTATAGGATCGCTATGAGTAAGAATGGACTCAACAGCAACATGCTATAGCAAACCAAGAGTCAGTATTACTCTTAATGCAAAAACCATCAATGTATTATTACATTTATCAAAAGCAGGGCCCAAATCACCAGTCCATCACATGACTCTGAGACTTTGCTTAATGCAGTAAGACTTATCACAGAAATAAGAGATAGAGTAATAGAAAGAAAGGAACAAACATACCATTTGATAATAACTTTAAAACTAGAAAACCTATGTGAAACAACTGGAAAATCACTGAATACTTTCAATGGTCTGAGACAGAAACAAACAAAATAAAAATAGTATTTCTTTTTATCAACAACATCAATTATTAATAAAATACAGATCTCAAAAAGTCATTAAGAAGACAAGAAAGAAGGAAAAGGTCAAAATGCATGTCAGAAGAGACTCTGAAACTTGCTCTCCAGCGTAGAGATGCCAAAGCAAATGGAATAATTGAGGAGGCCCAAGAG